GGTGTTCTACCACTAAGCTATACCTCTAGTCTTTTTATTTTTTATTTTGAGGCACATGCTCACTAAATAGTCCAGGTTGGCCTTGGACTTAAGATGCTCCTGCCACAGACTCCAGAGAAGTTGGTAAAGAAACAAGTATTAAAATATTATCAATCAACCCTTGAATGTGTTTTCTTTTTGCCTTTTCAACAAAGGCTTTTTTGGGCTGGGTATATAGCTTAGTTGGTGGAGTGCTTGCCTCACATGCACAAGGCCCTGGGTTCAATCCCCAGCAAAAAAAAAAAAAAAAAAAGTAATCTCAACAAAGGCTTTCAAATTAGATTTAGCCTACAAAGAGTTTTTTAAAATATTTTTTAGGGGCTGGGGTTGTAGCTTATGGTGGATCATTTGCCCAGCACGTATGGGGCACTGGGTTTAATCCTTAGCTCCACATAAAAATAAACAAAATAAATGTGTTGTGTCCATCTACTACTAAAAAATATATATTTTAGGAATACTTATAGAAATCCACATTTTCTTGGCATATTCAGACTTGCTATAATTGGTTTTAATGGCCATCAGAAAAACTAGATTTCAAGAGGCATTATTTGGCCGAGCAGAGTGGCACACACCTRTAATCCCAGAGGCTTGGGAGGCTGAGACAGGAGAATCACAAGTTCAAAGCCAGCCTCAGCAACTGTGAGGCACTAAGCAACTCAGTGTCTCTAAATAAAATACAAAATAGGGCTGGGATGTGGCTTAGTGGTTGAGTACCCCTGAGTTCAATCCTAGGTACCAAAAAAAAAAAAAAGAAAGAAAGAAAAATGGCATTATTTGGCAAAAGAAAGACAGCATGAAAGTCATTGTAAGTGGACCAATGTGATACAGTTTCTTTTTAAAGGTGTTTATGATATTATTTCAGTCCTATAAAATTTGGTTTTGCAATTGTTAAACTAAAGAGGAACTAAGAAAGCACAGTGGAATACTTCACAAATACATTTGAACTCATATGAAATTCCATTTTCTCCATGAGAGTCTAACATTATGTTAAAACATGTAACTCCCACCTACAACTCAGGTTTGGTGGTTCACACTTTCTTATACCCACTTTTTACTCCAAAGAAATTAAGAGTCTCTCAAATGTAACTTTCACACTGGTTGTTCTTGCACAGCTCTCGGTCTAGAATACCCAAGAATTGGTTCTCTCCCCTTTTAACTCAATGGCCCTTCATCCTAGCCAAGTTAGGTGTTTCTTCTTTATACTTCCTTCTGAATATCTGCACCACAGAATCTTTCATTAGAAATTTTACACATTAGCTTTCTCATTTCTCATTTCTCCCAAAACCAGAAATGAAAAACCAGTCCGAAATTATGTTAATTAAAATCGTTTTTAATTAATTAATTTTTAATATTTTTTAGTTGTTGATAGACCTTCATTTTTTTTTTAAGACCTTCATTTTATATATGCRAGGCAAATGCGCTACTGCTGAGCCACAGCCTCAGCCCTAATTTTTAAATTTTTGGATTTTCCAGCACATAGTCTAGCACACTATAGTCCAACAAATAGATACTCATTGAGTTAATGGAAGCCGATTATTTCAGAATGTACAATCACCCAGTAAAATTCAAGTTTTATCTTTTACAAATAGAGAAACTAAGGCAGTAAGGAGTTTGCCCAATAGCAACATTAACAAAGACTAATAGTGAAAAAAATGTGAAATCCTTCAATTGGACTAACTTCCCAGCTATATTCTATAGAGTAGAACAAATGAGAGCATCTAAATCATAAAAAATAAAGTCTTCAAACACAAACATCAAGTTTCCTATTTTGTACCTCAGATAATTTAGCTTTTTTTAATTTAAGGATTCAAAACCATTAAGACCAATCCTCCTTCATATACCATGAAATTCTGGCAAAGCCAAAGACTGACTTAAAGAATCCACTATTGGGCTGGGATTGTGGCTCAGCAGTAGAGCACTCTATCAGGTGCKAGGCCCTGGGTTCGATCCTCAGCACCACATAAAGATAAATAATAAAATAAAAGTATTGTATCCAACTACAACTAAAAAATAAAATAAATAAATAAATAAATAAAAGAATCCAGGKGCTGGGGTTATAGCTCAGCAGTAGAGTGTTTGCCTCCCACTTGTGAGATACTGGGTTCGATCCTCAGCACCTCATAAAAAATAAATAAACAAAATAAATAAAGATATTGTGTCCATCTTTAAAAAAAATCTTAAAAAAATAATCCACTATTAAAGGAGATACACAGGAAAGTTTTATTTTACCTATGAAAACCCTCATGTGTAGTTGCCCAGGTCAGAGTTGGATAATTCTCTAATATAGAAACTAGATGTGTCCTTTTCAAATTAGAAACAAAAAAAGAWCATGATGCCACCAAGTTTTAACCACCTGAGATGACTTCATCTTAAAAAATATTTATTTATTTATGGTACTAATGATTGAACCCAGGGGTGCTCTACCACCCAGCCCTTTTTACTTTTTATTTTGAGAGTCTTGCTCAGCTACCCAGGCTGGCCTTGAACTTGTGATCCTCCTGCCTCAAACTCCCAAATCATTGGGATTACAGGCATGGGCCACCACACCTGGCACAAATTTGTTCTTGAGTATCTTATACTTGACTCAACCCTATGGGGCCTTCCAACTCACCAGTTCATGCTCCATCTTCATGCCTAGGCAGCCATTTTGTAGTGGAGGCAAAATCAGTTCAAAGGTTAAAGTAAGCAGGGGCTAGTTCTCTATGCAAAGAACCACCAATCTACCACCAGATATTTTTTCACTGCCCAATCAGTTTCTATTAATATAAGTGTAGAGAAGGAGAAACTCATTACTAATTATAATTAAAGTTAATTTAAAGAAGCAGTGATAGGAAAAAAGGAAGCAAATAACTTCTGGTAATATTTAGAAATTCCCTAAGGTATGCTATTTTTCTCTGGAACAGATCAAAAACCTTCAGAGAAATAATATTCCTATGAAACAAAGATAAGATTAGATATATATATATGGAAAAACTAATGCTAAATTGAATCTACATTTAGTATTAAGACACAGAAGTTTGCCTCTCATGCAAAGCCAAGCATAAGGCAGCAAGCTGGAGTCCTAAATTAGAGGGAGTTCTACTGATAGGAGAACAGATAGGGCATATAGGGAATGGTTACAAAAGGGAAAAATAAACAGGGAAAAAAAAAAAAAGAGGTCACTCCATCTGGTTTCAAACCAAATAAACCCCCTCCAACCCTATCCAAGGAAAAGGAGAACTGCCTTTCCACACAACGTGCTCCACAAAAGAGCATGGTTTTGATATTTAGTTTCCCACGGTTACATCTTTTTTTTTTCTTTTTCTTTTTTCTTTCTTTTTTTTTTTTTTTTTTTTTTTGAACTAGAGATTGAATTCAGGGGCACTGGACCACTGAGCTACATCCCCAGACCTATTTAGAGACAGGGTCTTAGCGCCTCACCACGCTGAGGATGCTGGCTTTGAACTCTGGATCCTCTGCCTCAGCTTTCGGAGCTGCTGGTATTAGGCATGTGCCACCGCGCTTGGCTCCATGGTTGCGTCTTGGTGGTCATTTCAATTCAAAAATGAAAAAAAAAAAACAGTATTTTATGGTATAGTCAGAGGTACCTCAAGAAATGGCCTTCAGTACTATATCATACAGAAAATTCTTGTTTTAAGGACAGGGTTATTTCTGCTAGGGTAATTCAATTCAAATTGTTAATTTGGGGGAAGGGCTGCATGAAGGAGAAAGAGTGTTGTAGTCAGAGGCTTTGTTCTAATTTCTGGCTCTGTGGTTCTTATGCCCTGGGTTACCTTATGCAAGAAGTCATAATTTCTAAATCTTAGTTTCCTCATCTTCAAAATCAGACTAAAAACTGCTTAGCAGGTCTCTGTTAAGGAGAGATAAATTAAGTGGTTGGCACTCCATAATAGCTCTTTACCGAAATCCTACAAAATATAGATGTTTTTAGGCKCTGCTGAGATACAAGATGAAAGTTGCAGATGACAAAATTCCTGAGCGTTCTTGGTTTTCAAAATTCTTTTTGTTCCTCACCTCTTCTCAATGAGGAAAACAAGGACAAGCGATTAAAACAGCCAAAATTCTAGATGCGCATAAGAGTTTACAAAACATTTTCATGTGCGTTTCCTTATTTCAATGTCTGAACTTTACAGATAAGAAAACAAAATAAATGAGAAGCTAAAATAAATGAGAGGTAAAACTATAACCAAGCATCCTAACAACCACCAAGGAGGCTTTTTCTCCGCCCCACTCTCTCCCTAGTTAGTGTTGGGGCGCGCCTGTGTGTTTTGCTGGGAACTGAACCCAGGACCTCACACATGCTAGGCAAGCGCTCTGAGCTACATCCCCGGCCCAGCGGCTGTTTCTAGATGAGGTATTTTGTGGCCACCGACTCCACTCACCACCACCGCGCGACAGTGACTACGACTCTTTTGGCCTGCAGGCCGCACTGTGAAGCGCATTACTGAGGGTCGGTTCTGACCTCTGAACGTCGAAGGTCATTAAGTCATTCCTAAATAGGGCTCACTCTCATCCTTCTCTCTCGAGGCACCGCTCTCGTCTCTACCAGAGAATTCCATAGTTCCTAACCCCGCCGCGATCAGGTGGCGTCCCAGGGTTTTGCAGACGTTCTGCCTAGCTTTCCCACCCACAACACCTGCACTCAAAGCTCGCTGCAGTAGCCAGGGAGCAGAAGAATCAGCAGGCTCTCGCGGACAGCCCACCGCCTTGCTTTCATTGGGTAACCTCATCCTCTCCCCGCCCACCAGCCCCACCATCTTTTTTTTTTTCTTTCTTTCTTCTTCTTCTCCCTCAATTATTGGACTTGAGCACTGTCTATCTCGACTCCCGGGCACCGCCCTCTCTTCACCACCCCCTAGACCCCAGGCCCCACTTCTTCCCAGTCACTGGCATTCCTAGCCCATCCATCCCCTGTCTAGGAAGAATGAGTGAATCTGGCGCCGACCGGAGCCTAGAAGGGACGGCCCCTCCTCCAGCTCCAGCCCCACCCACCCGGCTTCTCTTCACCTCCCAGRCGCAGCACTCCCTCACTCAGCTCCCCCCACACCTAGTCTAGCTCGCAACGTCTCCACCCCCTCCCTACCAGCCAACGCTCAGACGTCCCCGGCTCTCGGGCAGAGCCGGCAGCGCGCTGGGGGCATGCGCTCCATGAGAGCTCTGCAGAATGCACTGAGCCGAGCTGGCAGTCGGTGCCAGCGGGGAGGCYGGGGTCACCTGAGCCGGAGCCCCTTCCTTGGCTGGGGCGTCCGACACCACCTCAGTGAGGCAGCGGCACAGGGCAGGGAGACGCCGCACAGCCACCAGCCACAGCACCAGGATCAGTAAGGCTCGCGGGACAGGGGCAGGGGACAGGCTTGCTCCCACTCCCACTGTCGTTCTCGCTAGCGCCCGAATCCCGGTCCCCAGGGAGCGCATCACATCTCCCCTCTTCTCGCTCTCTAGCCTGCGATGCCTTTTCCTTTAGATTTGGGGATTTGGGTCCGCCGAGCTCGGGCGGTAACGTGCCGCCCGCCCGGGAGGGCRTTTGGGCAGGTCGGTCTTCGAGATGGTGCCTGTCCAAGGTGCGTACTTAAATGGGAATGCAGAATGGGCGCAGTGTTGCTTGGTGCACGTGTCACAGTGTGGGGCCGTGTGCAGGCCCGCCCATCCTCCCCTTCTTTTCCTCTCGGGTTCTCCTAGGTATTTTAGGGGATGTGTGGGTATAAACAGCCTCCTGTTTTAGGTCCAAGTGTACTTGGGTCTACGTGGAGTGTCTTATTTCTGCGCGTACTCGCAGGCAAAGTGTGATGGGCGCTTGTTATTGGTACGCAAATACATGCGTATGTATTGGGTGTGTGCATAGCAGGGTCCCCTATCTGTAGAATAAGGATATCTTTCCAAACTATTGAATGAGGAGAATATTTATAATGGTGGGGGGAATCATGAGATGCAGAAATCAGAGCTAGTCAGAGCTGTTATTTATGCTGCTCAGGCTCCCTAATTTGAAGGATTCTTCTCCTTTGGGTACTTCTGCTTCCCACTCCCAGGTGGAACTTCTCTTCCCRGTCACCCAGAAATACTTGGTTGCTGAACCTTTTCCTTTTTTTCCTCTCTCTGAGACACAAATAATGCTGAATAAGAAATTTTTGCAAAAAAAGAAATTTTTGCCCTCTTCAGAGAAGGGTGAGCTAGACCCAGTCCAAGTAACCCCTACCCTATTATAGCTGTAACAGGAAATGGGCTCTCTGTTTTATCATTGACATCTAACTGATGATACTCAGAAACATATGTATACCGTAGTTAAAATAGCCATAAAAACAGCACTGTCTCACCACCACTGAAGTTCCAGTCCTGAGAGGTAATAAACCAATAAGTATTTGAAGGGTACTGGGAGACCAATAACTATTGTTTACTATTTTTTTTTTAAAGAGAGAGAGAGAATTTTTAATATTTATTTTTTAGTTCTTGGCGGACACAACATCTTTGTTTTTTGTGGTGCTGAGGATCGAACCCCGGCCGCACGCATGCCAGGAGAGAGTCCTACCGCTTGAGCCACATCCCCAGCCCTACTATTTTTTTAAATTTTTTTTGGGGGGGAAGGGTACTGGGGATTGAACTCCGAGGCACTTGACCACTGAGCCACATCCCCAACCCTATTATTCATTTTATTTAGAGACGGGTCTCACTGAGTTGCTTAGTGTCTCACCATTGCTGAGGCTGGCTTCAAACTTGCAATTCTCCCATGTCAGTCTCCCCAGCCGCTGGGATTACAGAYGTGTGCCACCAAGCCTGGCAATTGTTTACTATTAATAATCATTATTATGCACTACTTTTCTCAAAGAGACATGGAACATTTAAAGGATAAGACCACTCCTTCCTGTTCAATCTTCACCCTCCCCTCCTCCCAAATAACTATGGGAGTGGTAGGATAGAGGAAAGCCTATTATCCTTCCCCTTTAGAGTGGGAGCTAGAAGCATCCCTGGTTCCCCTACACACACACCAGCATCTAGTGAGTAGGGTAATAGAGTGTTTTTAGGGGACTAGTTTCTCCTGCCTGTGGCTGCTCCATCTCCAGGAAACCTCTTGGTAATGGCCTTGGATTGCTGCTCCCTGGGCAGAAGGGTTGGCAGCACTGGAGGGTGATGGCCGCTGAGAGTGTGACACCATGAAGGGTAGGATTTTGACTTGGGGGTGAAGGAAGTCTTGTTATTYGGGTTATTGTTTATTTTTAAAAACATGTAGCTTTATTGTATTTCTGATTTTTAAAAGAAAAACAAGAAGCCAAGTGTGTGATGTGCTTCTGTAATCCCAGCTACTTACTTAGTAGGCTGAGGTAGAAAGAATGAAAATGCAAGGCTAGCCTGGGCAACATAGTAAGACCCCATCTCAAAAAGAAAAGAAAGATAAAAACAGTATCAAGAAAAAAAGGCTCACATGCACAAGACCCTGAGTTCAATCCCCATCACCACCAAAAAGGAAAGAAAAGCAAGCTGAGAAGTGGATTTGGGCTGGGATTGTGGCTCAGTAGTAGAGTGCTCGCCTAGCACATKCGAGGCCCTAGGTTCAATCCTCAGCACCACATAAAAATAAATAAAATAAAGATATTGTGTCCAACCACAACTAAAAATAAATATTAAAAAAAAGAAAGAAAGAAAGAAAGAAAGGGATGGCTGGGGATATAGCTCAGTTGGTAGCATGACTAGGCCCTGGGTTCAATCCCCAGCACCACCAAAAAAATATTGTGATATTTCCATATATATCTAATGTATAACAAAAATGAGATCATATTCATATCCTTTGGTAACCTACTTTTCTATTTTTGAACAGCTTTCAATATGTGTATATGACATCAATTTTAATAGCTGCCATTTTACCATTTTAAAAAATTCCATGATATGAGTTGCCACAACCTTTTTTTTTTTGTATTGCTAGGAATCAAATCCAAGGCCTTAAACATTCTAGGCATGCACTGTATCACTGAACCACATTCCCAGCACCATTACCATAACTTACTTAATCAATCTTCAGTTTGGTTACTATAGACTCTTTTGTGTACTTTCAACAATAATTTCACTATATTTTTCTTTTCTTCTTCTGATACAGGGGTTGAACCCRGGGCATTCTACCACTGAGCCACATCCCCAGCTGTTTTTTTAAGATATTTTGAGACAGAGTCTTGCTAAGTCGCTGAGGTTTACTTTGAACTCATGATCCTCTTGCCTCAGCCTCCTAAGTCACTGGGATTATAGGTGTGTGCACCATGCCTGGTTCACAATTATTTCTTTTTTAAATATTTTATTAATTGTTGATGGACCTTTATTTTACTTATTTATATGTGATGCTGAGAATCCAACCCAGGGCCTCACACATGTGAGGCAAGAGCTTTACCACTGAGCCACAACCCCAGCACCTCACAATTATTTCTTTTTTTAAAAAATATTTTTTTTAGTGTTGATGGACCTTTATTTTATTCATTTATTTATATGTGGTGCTGAGAATTGAACCCAGTGCCTCACACATGTGAGGCAAGCACTCTACCACTGAGCCACAACCCCAGCCCCTCACAATTATTTATTTTTTTTAATATTTATTTTTTAGGTGTAGATGGACACAACACAATGCCTTTATTTTTATGTGGTTCTGAGAATCGAACCCGGGTCCCCCCCATGCTAGGCGAGCGCTCTACCGCTGAGCCACAATCCCAGCCCACAATTATTTCTTAAGAGTAAATTCCTAGGAAATTTTGTTCCCAAAACATCTGATGACATTAATATCTTCTATAGTCTTTTAGAGATATTTTAATGCATATAATACATGTTAATATTATCTTTTTAATAAATGATATTATACTGTACACATTATTCTATACCTTTTTTCCCTTCAACATTATATTGGTGATCAGTCTATATCTAAATCAAAAGGCATGCAATTTTTTAGCGTCATATGGTGGTAACGCCTGTAATCCCAGTGGCTCAGGAGGCTGAGACAGGAGGATCTCGAGTTCAAAGCCAGCCTCAGCAAAAGTGAGGCACTAAGCAACTCAGTGAGACCCTGTCTCTAAATAAATCAAAACAGGCCTGAGGATGTGGCTTAGTGGCTGATTGCCCCTGAATTCAATTCCCAGTACTGCCCCCCCCAAAAAAAATATGCAATTTTTTAAAGAATTTTGAGACATTCAGAAATGATGTGGCATCATTTCCTATCTATCAGCATTCAGGCACAGAGACCTGCTTTCAAGGTGTTCCTCCAAAGGCTGGGAATGTAGCACAGTGGTAGAGCACTTTTCTAGCATGCCTGAGCCTTGGGTTCAATCTCCCGTACTGCAAAACATAAAACAAAATAACCAAACATCCCTACAAACTTTCCTCTTTTAGTTATCCCTCATATGGCTTCCCCACCCCTTTCCTACAGATACTAGCATTGTGATGGTTTCCTCCAAAATTGGATCCCTTCCCCTTCTGGTGTTCCTCCTGGTCCCAAACGCACACATGCCTACTCTATGCCAAGCTTCTTGAGAATCTTTAGTTTTTTAGTGTCTTGTTTCATGGACAATATAGTTATATGGTTCAAAATTCAAAAGTATAAAAGATACTATAGTGAAAAGCATCCCTCCCACCCTTTTTGCATAGCCCCAACTACTCCTCCTAGAGATGAGTTTTACCTGTTTCTTATATGTCCTGCCAGAAATATTTTGTACTGGAATAAGGAAACATATATTTTTAAACATCAATAGTTTCATTCTGCATACACTGTTCTGAAACATGCTTCTTTAGTTAATATTACGTCTTAGAGATCAGTACTCAAAGCAGTCCCTAATTTCATTTTATTTACAGGGCATAACATTTCATTATATGAATAAACTCATAATTTACCTATTTCCCTACTAATGCACAGTTGTTTTAAATCTTTTTTAATTATGCAATGAATATGTAACTTTATAGATAAGTGAATATATTCCTGGAAACCAAGTTATTGGGTCAAAGGGCTTTGAAGGGTCTAAATCTCAACTGTCGTATTTGATCTGATATCATTCCTCTAAATCTGTTAATAGAGGAACTCTTGAAGATCAAGAAGTCTTTGGTGCCTAAAGAATTTTTCGTGCCATAACCATTGAGAGAGAGATTTGGGGGGTACAGGGACCTTCCTAATTATGTAACATGGTAATTCTTATCAAAGACCCACTTTGCTCAAAGATAGGAAGACAAAAACCTAGTTGAACAAGGGAAGAGTCCTCCGACAGTAAAATGGTTTACGTGCCACCCCAGCAACAACATAAGTAAAATCTGGAGGGTTGGGGAGATATTACAGAGTTGGTGGCATTTGAACTGGACCTTGAAGGATGGACAGGACTATGCTAATTGAAGGAGAAGAAGGTCATTCCATGCAGAAATCACAGCATACGTAAAATCCAGGAAACCTCACAGTCCCTGGCCCATTTGGGGAACCATCTATTAACCTCTCATAATGAATGTGGGAGAATGGTGGGGAATAGCAAAAGAAAGGTAGCAGGTTTTTTGGTGCTGGGGATTGAACCTAGGGGTACTTTACCACTGAGCTACATCCCCAGTGTCTCACTAATTTTGTTTTTTAAAGAGAGAGTGAGAGAAATTTTTTTAAATATTTATTTTTTAGTTTTTGGTGGACACATCATCTTTATTTTTATTTTTATGTGGTGCTGAAGATCGAACCCAGCGCCCTGCACATGCCAGGCGAGTGTGCTACTGCCTGAGCCACATCCCCAGCCCCATGTCTCACTAATTTGCTTAGGCTAGCTTCCAACTTGCAGCCCTTCTGCCTCAGCCTCCTGAGTGGCTGGGATTACAGGCATACACTACCTGCACCCAGCAAATTGGCAGGTTCTAAGGAGCCTTGAATGCCAAACCAAGAAATAACTTCTTCTGTAAGCACTAGGGAGCCATCACAAAGTTTTTGAGTTATTCTGAGTTTAAGAAAATAGGTAGCACATTGCAGAAGATAGTTGGGGAGTCAAGAGTGTATAGTGGCAATTAGGTAACAAACAACAAGGAGCTATTGAGTTCTGATTTACTGAGCATCTACTTTATGTKAAGACAGTTTTTCATGGAATATGATCTTAATTTAGGCTCATATTACCCATGTGAAGTAGACATTACCACTCTTATTTTATAGACTAGGAAGCAGGTTCAACAATATTACGTGATCTGCCCCAACATCACACAGCTATTAAGGAGCAACCTTCGATCCTTTCTACTATACCATATTGCTTGGGGGGAAAGAAGAGGGCAGATTTGAGAGGTATTATGGAGGTAGATTCATCCAGTTTTAGTGGCCAACCAAACATGGACTTAAGGTATGGGAACTACCAAAATTGTTCTGCATTTCCAGTCTAGCACCCAGGTGGTAGTACTTTTATTTGACCCAGATGGGAAACACAAGAAGAGAAGAGGCGGGAAGGTAAGATGACTTAGGTTTGGACATGCTGAGTTTTCAGTGCCTATGGTCTAGAAGTGTCAAGTAGGCAGGTAGAAATAAAGATCTTAGTTATGAGTAAAAGCTAGAAAGTGAAAGGTACAACTTCTCAGGACAGATCAGATGGTTTAGGGAAGAGACACAGAATGAGGACACTCACCAGCCCATGTTCAAGGAGGAGGAGCAAGGAGTGATTCTCAGGCTCCTGCCCTCCTCCCCTGTCTCTGCCCCCAAACAGTGATGCATCAGAGTGTGGCATGCTGTCCCGCCTGGGTGATCTGCTCTTCTACACTATTGCCGAGGGACAGGAACGAATCCCCATCCACAAGTTCACTAGTGTAAGTTGCCCCCTTTACCTGTTCTGAACCCTAATCCTTAGATCTATGGAAAGTGGGAAAAGGAGGGTAGGACAGATACAGGACACCTAATGGGTTACTGCATGAGGATAGAGAATGCAGGTGGGTAATAACAGATGCCTAAGCTAAGGAGACAATCCCATCTCTGCCCCAGGGCCAGATTAAACACAACTAGCTGAAAAGGGGCAGGAATCCCTTGTTAACCTTCAAAGCTGCTTCATTCCCTTTTAATTTCCAAATCCACTTGTCCTACCTTTTGTAGTAACTGGGATTGAGGTAACTGAGTATCTATTGGGAAAGACTATTAGGATTAAAATACTATTCTTTGAGCTAAATTTACCAGGCCTCTTCTTTCCCTAAAGGCACTGAAGGCCACCGGACTGCAGACATCAGATCCCCGGCTCCGGGACTGCATGARTCAGATGCACCACATGGTCCAAGAGTCTAGCAGTGGTGGCCTCTTGGACCGAAATCTCTTCCAAAAGTGAGGGCCCCAGAAATGAGGGCATTATTTTCAAAACTGTTCTGTGGACACAGATATCAGAGCATATAGAAATCTTGGGGATTGTATAATTCAACACTTCATTTTGTTTTATTATTCATCACACAAGTAATATATGAATACTCATTATGAATTCTGAACAATATAGAAATATATGTTCTCATTTCCCGTTTCTCCCAGTCCTAGCCCCTTTTCCTGGAAGTAAACATTGTTAACAGATTAGTGGATATCTTTTAGATAATATCCTATGTAGTCACACATATATATGAATATACATAAATATAGGACTTAGGATTTCTAAAATATAAAAATGACATACTATACTTATTCTAGTAATTATTTTTTTCTTATATCCCAAGACATTATGTCTTGAGGTATCTTTCCATGTTATTACTATTGTTCATTTTAGGGGTGAAGAAACTCAAAACCAAAATGATAAAGTGACTTGCCAAAGCTATTGGTCTCAAACCACATGACCGCTCACAACCTTCTTTATTCCCAACCTCCATGGCTCCAGAGTGAGTCCCTGCTGTATGTCTGCAGCCCCCTAATGCAATCGTGTCTGGGATCCAGGTGTGTGAGCAGCAACATTGTGCTCCTGACCCAGGCATTCCGAAAGAAGTTTGTCATTCCCGATTTTGAGGAGTTCACGGGCCATGTGGATCGCATCTTTGAGGATGCCAAAGAGCTCACAGGAGGCAAAGTGAGGGCTGGGGGGGGGGGGATAAGGGAGGGGCAAGGGCTCTGGGCCAGATATATTTTAATTCTTAAAGACTTCCTGGGGCTGGTAATCCAATGGATGTAAAATGAGAAGCAGAACCTCTAAAAATGTGGAAATAGCTCCATGTGTTTCTAAACAGGTTCCTAGAACAAGTGAGGGAATCCTAGTTTTCTTAGGAGATTGTGGCATAGTCAAGTGAATTGTCAGAGACTTACAGTAATTGAATCTAAAAATCAAAACAGGAAGCTGACCCCAGAATTCTCCTTTTTAACCTTCCATGAGCTTTACTGCCATCACTACAGGACAGAGGCTACAGATAGATAAGATCCCCTAGGACTTAAGGCTTGGAGTTTCTGGGAACAACAAATAGAAGGGAATTCATKTGCCATGCTGGAGTCAGAATTTAGCTTTTTATCAAAAAAACTCTCCTGATCCTGAACTCCATACTCTTCTCCACATCCATCTTTCTCCCTTTTCTCTACCCACTCCTGCCCAGGTGGCGGCCTACATCCCTCACCTGGCCAAGTCAAACCCAGACCTGTGGGGTGTCTCCCTATGTACTGTGGATGGACAACGGTGAGATGCTGGGTGAGAGGAAGGGGAGGAAGGGCACAGGTAAAGAACAAAGGCCAACCCCTTTCATTGCACCTGTCTGCCTCTAGGCACTCTGTGGGCCACACAAAGATCCCCTTCTGCCTGCAGTCCTGCGTGAAGCCCCTCACCTATGCCATCTCCATAAGCACCCTAGGCACTGACTACGTGCATAAGTTTGTGGGCAAGGAGCCCAGCGGCCTGCGCTACAACAAACTCTCCCTCAATGAGGAAGGTGAGCACCCCCAGAGCTCAGACCAAACTCATGCTCCCTCCCCCAAGCCTTTTTCATTTGTTTCTTTGCCTTTCCTCCCATCCAACTACTAACCAGGCCTAACCCTGCTTAGCTTGTGAGATCAGAGATGATCAAGCATGATCAGAGTGGTACGGCTGTAAACACTGTTTTTCCTGATTAGCCCTGATATTCCTTTTACCCCAGCAAAGAAATCTTTCTTATTTAACCTACAGAGAGGGCAGGCTGTAAAGGAGTCTTTGTTCAGTGACTGATAAGACCCTGCACAATTTGTATTTCCCCAGGAATTCCTCATAATCCCATGGTCAATGCTGGTGCCATTGTTGTCAGCTCCCTGATCAAGGTCAGTGACACACTAACTTTCTGAAAGGTACTCTTTTCTAAGCCTCCTTATTCCTATATCCCTCCTATCTGTTAAGCTCTCCAGGGAGACCAGTGGGATACTGATTCCTTTGAGGGTTCCCAGGAGGCTTTGTATGAGCGTAACAGGGATCTGTGTGTTATGCTGAGGATGCCAGTAAGAGAGGCTGCATCACCTCCTCCACTTTCACCCTATATCATTCCCTGCCCCACCTATGAGTAGAATCTAGAGCTTCCAGGCCCTTGGAGGAGTGAGCAGATCCTGACCCCTGCCTAGGATCAAGGGCCAAATGCCAGAGACAGGGGGAGGACAGCATTATTAGGCACCGATTGGCCACTTCTGGGTGAGGGAAACATGCAAAGAAGGGTGAATGGCCAGGCCAGGGCAGTTATTCACGTCACCTAGAACTGTGAGTTGGCCTTGAGCAAGGGTGTCAGGCAAGCCCATCAGCTGTAGGTCTCCCAGGGCTTAAGCAAGAACTTGGGAGCAGCGTGGGCAGAAACATTCTGAAGCCAATCACAGTCCCTCCTGGGGAAGGTGGTGTTAATAACCCTTCCCCCAGCAATTCAGGTGTCAGAGTCCCTGTGGTGTTGACTCTAGCTGACRTGTGCATGAAGCAGTGAGTCTGAGGGTAGGAAACCAGGCCAAGTCTCTATCCCTATTCTGTGATGGTTCTATCTACAGCCCTGTCTCTGGGACCTGCTTCATCCCATTCCCATCTAAGTTGGCCATATTGATCTTGACTCAACTAAAATCTTTAGCTTCAGGGTTAGGGATGTAGCTCCATGGCAGAGCACTTGCAAAGACCCTGAGTTTGATCCTAGCACCACCAAAAGGGGAAAAAAAATCTTTAGCTTCCTTGTCAGCTGTTAATATGGTTGGATATTATAATATATGCAACAGATATACTCATCCGATTTCTGTCACTCCATTCAGTCTTAGGATTGGCATGGGAGTCAGAATGAGCTAAATTAAGGTTCTAGCATGGTATATTAAGGGATGGGAATCAGGGCTGGGTGCAGTGGCACACTCCTGAAACCCCAGCAGCTCAGGAGGCTGAGGCAGAAGAATTACAAGTTCAAAGCTAGCCTCAGCAATTCAACAAGGCCCTAAGCAAGTTAGTGAGACCCTGTCTCTAAATAAAATACAAAAAGGGATGGGGATATGGCTCAGTAGCTAAGTGCCCCTGGGTTCAATCCCTGGTATTAAAAAAAAAAGAAAGGAAAGTAAAAATCTAATTATATCAGCAATCATTTTCAATTACAGTGGTCTAAATACATCAACTATACAAATACTTTCTTCAGGAATATTTTGAAAGTGGGGGGACTCAGGCTTACTGAGCATGTGAAGTTCTCTGTACCTTTGTGCCTTAATAAAAATCTAAACTGTTTGTTTTTTAAGATCAATATATAGGGGTTGGGGATATAGCTCAGCTGATAGAGTGCCTTGCATGCACAAGGCCCTGGGTTCAATCCCCAGCACCACACACACACACACACACACACACAAAATCAGTACACACACCCCAAAAAAGGTCTCAGTTGTTTAAAAAGGAAAGAAGTTTGCCAGGGCATGGCAGCATGTGCCCACAGACTCAGTTATTCGGGAAGCTAAGGTAGGAGGATCATTTGATCCTAAAAGTTTGAGACCAGCATGGGTAACACAGTGAAATCCTGTCTTTGAGACACAAAGAAAAAGGTCATTGTAAAATATATCCCCAGTAGCAAGACTAGTCTAACATTTTTTTTTTAAAGAGAGAGTGAGAGAGAGGGGGGGGGGACAGAGAGAATTTTAACATTTATTTATTTTTTCTTAGTTCTCGGCGGACACAACATCTTCGTTTGTATGTGGTGCTGAGGATCGAACCCGGGCCACACGCACGCTAGGCGAGCGCGCTACCGCTTGAGCCACATCCCCAGCCCTAGTCTAACATTTTTTAACTCTTCTAAGTGCTTGACCTTTTCCTTTGTCATTGTCCTTGGCTTGAGACACTGACATCTCTCTCTTTCTCTGTAGATGGACTGTAACAAAGCAGAGAAGTTTGATTTTGTAAGTTCCCTTGCTACTCAGCTCCTAGCTGCCTTTCACCATGTCATGCTGACCCCTCCAGCTGCCCCAAGTACTTGGCTCTAGACCCAGTATCAGGTGCACCCATACTAGAAGGCTTATTTCCTTCAGGGAGGAAATCCTCTTGAAGTCCCTGTCCTCACAGGCAAAGCTGGGATAAGGGCTGAGTGGTTCAGAAGGACTGTTCAGCCTGGGATGTGTTTAGTAGGAGTTCTCGGTCAGGTGAGCCTCCCTTGCCCCTCTTCTCTTCCAGGTGTTGCAATATCTGAACAAAATGGCTGGAAATGAATTCATGGGTTTCAGCAATGCCACGTAAGGCCTTGTTCAGAACTATCTGAACACATTGGGTGGTGTGTGTACACATGGGATTGGGGGAGGGATGAAAGGATCTTAGGAAGGAATTCCATAGGAACTTTGGCCTCCTAGCTTCCTCTGAGCCCCTTCATTGACATTTGTTTACTTTGTGAAATAATTTGTTCTAGTTAATATGTAAGGAGAGGTAGCATGATGGTTTGTGTCTAAGGCCTTGCCAAGACCTCAAAGCCAGAGTCTCACCAGTGTTCTTAAGACTAGATGAATAGACAGCTTTAGGGGTTGTTTTTTGTTTTTTACAACAAAGCTATGCTGAGTATTTGCTTAGGTTCAGAAATGTCCTCTAATATTACTGTGAAAAGTTATAAAGGCACTGATGTAGTTCTGTGTCTCTCAGGGAAGGCAATTTTTCCCCTTCTCCCCATACCTACCTCTCAAATATTAAGCACTAAATTGGGTGTTTGCTTCAGATTCCAGTCAGAGAAGGAAACAGGGGATCGGAATTATGCCATCGGCTATTATCTCAAGGAAAAGAAGGTAACTGGGAAGGCCAGTAGAGTTTCTGGGAATTCTGCTGCTGGTGGAAGGATAGTAGGGGTTGGGAAATTTGGCTGAGACCCTGGAGTGAGAAAGGGGCTRTCAATGGCCTGAAGAGAATGTTTTCCCTCTTCTTCCTTGCAGTGCTTTCCTAAGGGGGTGGACATGATGGCTGCCCTTGATCTCTACTTTCAGGTAAGCAAACCTGAGGGCCAAGGAAACAGGACAGACTGCCTTCCTTCTCTTACTCACATGGTTCTGTCAGGAATATTAAGCAATTTGTTAAAGATCTAGATGCTAAGAACACTGCTCTATTCCCAAAAGCACCATGTTCACATCCACATTACATCTTCACTTCTCCCTTGTCTCCACAGCTGTGCTCCGTGGAGGTCACCTGTGAATCAGGCAGTGTCATGGCAGCCACCCTTGCCAATGGTGGGATCTGTCCCATCACAGGCGAGAGCGTTCTGAGTGCTGAAGCAGTGCGCAACACCCTCAGCCTCATGCATTCCTGTGGCATGTATGACTTCTCGGGCCAGTTTGCCTTCCATGTGAGTGTTTTGGGCCCTGCCATCTATCAGTGGTGAGCCCTGTGCCAAAACAGGACACTGGTCTCTGAAAATAGAGAGATGGAAGTTTGTTCCTGCTTCTTATTCACAAATCTCCAGCTAGGCTGTTAGGCTGAGAATCCTCACAGGAGGTTGTCAGACACAGTTCCTCAAATACAAACACATGAAGGTGCACCTTCTGAATCGCTCTTGTGCAACCCTTCCTGTGGCTGTCTCTTCTGGGTCTCAGCTTCTGTGTCACTTCTCAGGAGAGGCCCTTTTTTTTTTCCTTCAGTGCTAGAGACTGAACCCAAGCCCTCCCCCATGCAAGCAAGCTCTACCAGTGAACTACATCCCCAGCCAGGAGGCTTTTCTAACTTCCCTATCTCAGATGGGTCCACCTACAACACTGGTCACAGCACCTTCCTTTTCTTCTCAGTTTGTAGTAATTATTTATTGTTGCCTGTTTATTGCCTACCTTCTACCACCAGAATGTGACTTTACCCTAGTTCTAGCTAGCAGAGTGCTAATATTTCAATTAACATTTCCTAACTTTATCAATGAATTAAATAAATATTAAGTACATAGTAATTAATATTTTTGAATTAAACAATAAGTTTATTTAATGGTAGCCACTTTAAGTAAATAAAGCAATTCTGAGCTCCTACCAAGCACAAGGAATAAGTAAGAAAAGTCTGAAAGGTTGAGGTGGTTGTGGCTTTGCCCATGCAGTCACTTAGAATAGCCTACCTTGTTTGTTTTCCTAGATTTGGGGGACCCCAAGCTCATSCTCAGCTTCAAATTTGTTCCCCAGGTGGGCCTGCCAGCCAAATCAGCTGTGTCAGGAGCCATCCTCCTGGTGGTACCCAATGTCATGGGAATGATGTGTCTGTCACCTCCACTGGACAAGCTGGGGAACAGTCATAGAGGCATCAACTTTTGCCAGGTGAGTTATTCTGCACGTAGTACTTAATATTTTTTTTTTTTTTAAAGAGAGAGGGAGAGGGAGAGAGAGAGAGAGAGAATTTTTTAACATTTTTTTTTTTTTAGTTTTTGGCAGACACAATATCTTTGTTTGTATGTGGTGCTGAGGATCGAGGATCGAACCCCGGCCGCACGCATGCCAGGCGAGCGCGCTACTGCTTGAGCCACATCCCCAGCCCACTTAATATTTTTGAATTAAGCAATAAGTTTATTTAGTGGTAGCTACTTTAAGTAAATAAAGCAATTTTGAGCTCCTACCAAGTGCAAGGAATAAGTAAACGATATCTTTGGCTTGCAATTCTAGAAGTTGGTGTCTCTCTTTAACTTCCACAACTATGACAACCTGAGGCACTGTGCTCGGAAATTAGACCCACGACGTGAAGGCGGAGAAGTTCGGGTAAGGAAAACCCCAGGTTCCTTATAAGATTATTTCAAAACAGTATATGATGTAATGCTTCATTGCCTAAGCATCCATGGAGGTCATCACAAGGCAGAACTAGGCAAGGGCAGAGTCAAAGCCACAATTAATCTCAGATGGCTATGATTTGCTTTCCAGAACAAGACTGTGGTAAACCTGTTGTTTGCTGCCTATAGTGGAGATGTCTCAGCTCTTCGAAGGTAATTTTACCATAACCAGATATTCACAGTAAAAATACTGCTGGTCAGAGATCTTATTAGGGGGTCACATAGCAAAACAGTTAAAACAGTTAAGTGCTTCAGCTTGAGGCCTAGACCGAATGGATGTAGATTTAAGTGTTTTTTTGTTTTTTTTTAAACAAAGTACCACATAAGAACTTAATAAATGACAGTGTTATTAACTTGAGTGTTAAGGGCATAGTTAACTTGCCTCAGTGGATTACCAACATCAACAAACATGTACTACAAGTAGGCAATAATGCTTTTGGAAGTATCACAATCTCATTTCTCTGAAGTGGGAATTACAGTCTCATCTAGAACAAATTATATAGCCTTCAGATTGTAGCATTAACTGTTTCACTTTTTCTGGAGTCCATCCAGTCTGACTCCATATTAGAAAGGACATTAGTGATTACAGACTGATCTGGGTAATCCTAGCCACTTTCTACTACCTCAGGTTTGCCTTGTCAGCCATGGATATGGAACAGAAAGACTATGACTCCCGCACAGCTCTACATGTTGCTGCAGCTGAAGGTATCTGAAGGATTTAAGTGGGTGGCAGAGCATAAGCCCCTTTCTTTTCTACTAAGATACCCTGTTTTATGTGTCTTCAAGGTTCCAGGGCCAACAACTAGTTCTGACAATTCAGCTGGCAGCCAAACTATTATTGGGTGTTTACAGGGAGCAAAATGGAAAGAGGCCTTTTCTCCTCTCAAAACAGTCTCTGGCTGTCAAGGGTCTATACAAAAGGGTTTAGGATCTGTATCCTATGATTTTCCTTCTGCCCCTATTCCTAGGACACACAGAAGTTGTTAAATTTTTGATCGAGGCTTGCAAAGTGAACCCTTTTGTTAAGGATAGGTAAGAAAAATTAGGCTAAAAAGGGGGAGGGTTGGGGCTGGGTTGGGGCTCTGTGATAGAGCACTTGCCTAGCATGTGTGAGGCATTGGGTTTGATTCTCAGTACCACATATAAATAAATGAATAAAATAAAGGTCCATCACCAACTAGATACATATTAAGAAAAAAAGTATGCCGGGGGCATGGAAGGGAGGGTGGCACAGCTTCTCCAACACTGCCCACTACCCACCATACACAGATATACAACTACATCACTCTTAATGTCTCCTTTGCCTGATCTTGCTCATTGTTCCTCAGGTGGGGCAACATTCCCCTGGATGATGCTGTGCAATTCAACCACCTGGAGGTGGTCAAACTGCTTCAAGATTACCAGGACTCCTACACACTCTCTGAGACTCAGGCTGAGGCAGCAGCTGAGGCCCTGTCCAAAGAGAACTTAGAGAGCATGGTTTGAGAATAACAGATCATGGACAGTCCCTGCTCAAGAAAAAAGCATGTGCTGGCCACACACTTAATCCATAACTACCAAAAAAGTATTATGGAGAGTTTCTTCAGTGGGGACCAAGAAAGCCATTTGTGACATAGGCCAGTGCTTTCTATGAGAGTTAAAATACCCCTTTCCCCAAGGGATACCACTTGTAGAGCTATCCATGGACAGTTTGCATTATGGTCTAATGGCTTGGTCCAATCAAAACCATCACAGGTCTTCAGCCAAGTCCTCTCTTGAAGAAACCACACTTCGAAGGAAGGACTCTAGCTACCATGCACATGTATAAATCAGAGTGAGAGAAAGAGGGAGCCTATGTACCCAGCCTTAGTAGTCTGGAAAGATCAGTCCCCCTTGGCCAGAACCTGCTTGCTGCTACTGCTAACAGCAATTTTATAGACAGAGAAAGTATTTTGTGCTCAAATAAACTTTAATTACACAAATTACTTTTGTTAAACTCAGTCATTCTCTTTTTCCCTCAGGGTATTCCAGCTTTATCACCATCATAGAAGGTAGAATAAGATAGAACACAGGGTCAGACAGAGCCCAAACAACACACATTTCATGTACATATTCACTTACTTCACCCTCAACCCCAAGTACGGTTTTAGGATCAGTGTATTATGTTGCTAAGGGGAATGAGTGTTTGAGTCTCAATAGACCCCAAAATGGACTATGCAAAACCTTAGGCCGCCTTCCTTCCTCTGGAGTTTTAACTGTGTCAGAAATGAAGATGGAACTTCTTAAGAATAATATTTCTGACACTAATCCCCTAGATTTCTCCCTAGTTCTTTTCCCTTTGTCACAGTTATAACTGGCACAATGATTATGATGGATTGGCTGGGTATGGGAGGTGTACAAATGAAGTTAAATGGACTCAGGTTAAGGATAGCTGCCATCTGTGTGGAGCTGCSGGTCTTTGGCGCTGAGGTACTTGGGGGTTCTGTTTTCACTCTGACCCACTGAGTCAATAAAGACTGAGGACCAGAGACCAGACTCTGTAGGTGCTGCAGAGGAAGGACCAAGTCACTGACTGCACCACTCCTCCAGCCAGAGGTAGAAAGGATTTACTCTGGAGAGATTTGATAGAAACCCCAAAACAAACAAGTAACATACAGATAAAGGGAGAGAGAGGTAGCATAGTGAATAAATTCAACCAAGCTAAAAGACAAGACCCTAAGACTGAATAGTTTTGAGGGATGGGAGGCACAGCAACTAAAGGAACAAAGTATGGGAAACTATACCTGTGGTGCCCAGGAAACCCACGATAGTTTGAAGGAAACCTTGACCGTATGCCTAGCTTTCACGGGGTAGAAAACAGAAAATGACTAAGATATTGCACAGAGGACCCATCAATGAATTGTGGGAGATAGAGGTCTTCATATACTTTCAGTTGGAAACTGGCCAAGAGTATGATTAGGGACTCTAATAATGGACATACTAGAGACCCTCTGGCACCTCAAGCCCAGAGTGGGTCAGCAGCTCTCCATCCCAAAGAGCAAAAGCAGGCACCACCGGACCCCGGAAATCTGTCTGTAGCGTGTGGACCACAGAGACCTTGTTCACATCCACCAGGCTCAGCTTCTTGGCCTCATAGTCCAACAGCAGCCCCACTTTCTCGGGTTGCCCAATACCCTCAATTGGGGCTTTCTCGTTGGCCAACATGGTGTGCCACTTGCGCTGAGCATAGGAGAACACCCAGGAACGATCATCAATACCGATGCAGCTATCCCGGGACATGTCCATGTCTGCCACTCCTATCCGGAATTGCTGGGAGCGCTTCACTGTCACCTCCCAGTAATGTCTGCCACTGGTGACCGCTGTGTCTGCCAGCACCACTGCCCACTCCCGGAAGCGCTCCACATTCAGGGCCACCTTGGTGGGTTCCAATCCTACCAAGCCATATTTGACACCTGTGTCACCTCTGAAGAGTGCCAGACTGCTGTGGGCAGTTTTTTCTTCCAGTTTGAAACTGATGCCTGCGGGCAGAGCAAAAAGACTGGATGATGACAGTGGTTAAAACCTTAGGGCTGGTGCTATATTCTGATCTGAAGCAGGCAACTCAGGAGATCACAAGGAAGCAAGGAAGAGTTGAAAGGTAAGCTGGAAGCCAGGAGAAGTTAAGCACGCCTGTAATACCAGCTAATCAGAAGGCTGAGACAGGAAGCCTGCAAGTTCTGAGCCAGCCTGGGCAACTTAGTGAAACTCTGTCTCATAAAATAAAAGGAGTTGTGGGGATATAGCCCAACAGTAGACGCCGGTGAGTTTAATCCCCAGCCCCACGAAAAAAAGAAAAACAAGCTGGTAAGACTGGGGGTCATTAYTTTAGTATAGACAGTCCCAAGAGCCGAAAAACTCGGACTGGGTCAGTAGATGGGGTCTGAGGGTTAGAATCGAAAAACCAATGCAGAGGGGGAGGGAAGATGGCTAGAGAGGGTTGAAGTTGTCTGAGCAGCTTCCGGGAATAACAGCCAGAAACTTTGGGAGGCAAACGTGAGTAAAAAGTAATAATCCTACCTCTTCGGGCTTCCCCTGCGGCAGCCCCACATCGTTTGGCTCCCCAGCTGTACAAGCGCCAAGAACGTGCAAAGTGCAGCGCCATCTTACGCCACAGAAACGCAGGGCACGTATCCCTGCTACCCTACATACCTCGCCATCTGCCGACGGGTTCCCAGAGCACGTGATGCGCGAGGCGGCCGCGCAGCGTGATGACGTAAAGGAACCGACGCCCTGCGCGGAACCACCATTTCGGTGACTTCTCTCCAGTTYTGGTGCAGTTGATCGGTTTTTTCGTGGAGAAAAACGGCGCTCGTTTGAATTGACTAAAACCTTTGGAGAGAAGGTGTAGCCAGATGCTTAGAAGCATGTATTTTAGAATTAAACTAATTTTATTCGACCCCCAGCTTCACTTTGGGCCCATCTCTTAACTTCTTAGCTTCCCAGAACCTTAGCAAAGCTGAAATAATGCAACCCATAAACCTTTAGTAGCACCATCCCCAGCACCGGAAAAATAAACAATTTAGAATACAGCTTGACAAATAAATGTTAAATACATTATACTGTACGGTGGGTTTGTATTTTCAAGGTTAAGAAGATTTTAAACTATTCAGTTTTCCCAGCATGACCAAAAGTATATTGGTTCAGGGTGGAGTAGGTATCAGGTAGGTGATTATGAACAGTCTACATTTAACATTTTGATCTGCTTGAGGTTCTGTGTTGCTGCTTTCTAAAGTGTTTCAATCCCTCTACTTCTCAAGGTTCTGTTGGTCAACCTGATATGAACATCCCACCTCCCTCTTCCCACCCCTCAAAAAAATAACTTTAGATCTTTGAAAGACTAAAAAACTAACCAAACTATTCCCCTTCCCCAGTTTTAACCACCATTCTAGTGGACACAGTCCTAGTTCAGGTCACGTGTATCCTAGTTCAGGTCACTTGTATCCTTAATCTCAATTAGAGTTCTCTCTCTCCACCCCACCCCCTTTTTTTTTGTACTGGGGATTGAACCCAGGGGGGCTTAACCACTGAGCCACATCCCCAACCTATTTTTTATATTTTATTTAATATAAATAAGGTCTCACTAAGTTGTGTAGGGCCTTGCTAAATTGCTGAAGCTGGCCTTGAACTCAAATCCTCCCCCCTCAGCCTCCCTAGCCGCTGGTATTTCAGGCCTGCGCCAAGGAGCTCTGCTCCATTGATCTATTTTTTATTTGGAGGTAGGGTCTTGGTAAATTGCTGAGGTGGGCCTGGAATTTGTAATMCCCTGTCTCAGCCTCCCCAGCTACTGGGATTAATAGACGTGTGGCACTCTGCCGGGCTTAGAGTTTTCTCATCATAATGTAGTTATGTACCTTCTAATGTACTAGCTTCTCTCTGTCTGGTATTCCAAAATCCACACTACATTCAGAGTGCTATTTCTAAGTCCCAAATCCCATCCTGCAATTCCCCTATTTAAATACTTTGATGTGCCTGCAACAAATTCCCTTTCATGATCATAAGGCTTTTTAACATGATATAACTGCTTTGTCCTACCTTCTTTGTGTATTTGTTTACTTTTTATTTATTTATTTATTTATTTTTGTCCCAGTTCTGGAGGTGGAACCCCAGGTCTTGCACATGTTAGGCAGCACTCTACCACTTTGTGTTTGTTCTGTTTCATAAAACACAGTTCCTTCTTTCAAAGGCCTACAGTCTAACTGGGGATGGATTAGAATGTTGATTGTTGCAATTTGATGCAGAAAGTGCCATAATTAAATGACGACAAGATGCTCAGGAAACAAAAGAGAAACCTCTGAATGAGTATATGGGGGATTGTTCAGGAGAGTTTCCCAAAATCATAGCTATGGCTTGAAAGGCAGAAATAAGGAATGAAAGCTCCACCTGTTCAAAATCTCAGCTAACACATTCTTTCCAAGAAACATACTGTTGAGTATGGCCAATGTAGCCTTTTGTCACTTATTGGAGATAGATTCTCAAAACATCTACCTCATATTTATTTTCTGAGTTTCAGATCTGCACATTAAGTAGCCTATTGGACATGTATACCCGATATCCAGTCACCTCAACCTCCTCCATGCCATGACTCTGAATTACCAGTTGCCTGGAAACCTGGGAGACCTTGACTTTGTGACTCTCATTTCATACTGTCATTGAGTCTCTATCACATTATTTTTTCCTGGACTACTGCATCAGTTTGCAAGAGAACATAGAAACAGCTACTATCTCAACCATTAGGCTATGAATTCTTCTGTTGCCTTCCCCCACCCTCACTCCCCCAGTACTGAGAATTGATCCCAGGAGCATTCTACCACCACGCTACATCCCCATTCCTTTGAATTTTTTAGAAAATTTTAAGCAGAGTCTTGCTAAATTGCCCAGACTGGCCTAGAACTTGGAATCCTCCTACTTGCACCTCCCAAGTAGCTGGGATTACAGGTGTGTGTGTGACCATACCTTTTAGGCTGTGGATTTTTAAGAATGGAAATTACATCTTTTGTTCTCGGAGTCTCAGGGCTTCAGCATTCCCCTTGGCACAGAATATATGCTCATTGTTTATGGATGAATAAATGACTACTAAGTATAAAGGGAGAGGGTTTTGTGTCCATATCTGAGGAGTGTAGTGACACATTATCTCCACTAGGGGACAGACTGGCCCAGCCTTTTCAACCACTTCAATGAGAGAAGAGATTCATTTGTTGCCCTTCCCCTTCATCCCTCCCTCCACCCCCACCCCTACATCCATCACCCAACCACCCTCCACCCCTCACCCCCGCTTTGTTGTCTTATTTATTTAGGTACCACGGATTGAACTCAGGGGCACTCCATCACTGAATCACACCCCCAGCCCTATTTTGTATTTTATTTAAAGACAGGGTCTCAGTTGTATAGCGCCCTCTGCCGCTTGCTTTGAATCGCCATTCTCCTGTCTCAGCCTTCTGAGCCGCTGGGATTACAGGCGTGCGCCACCACGCCCAGTTCCATTTGTTGTCTTTTAAGCCTAGGAGAAAAAACGATGGGAAGAGAAATTTCCTTCAGAAAAGTCCTGCTTTGTCTTTTTTTCTTTTTTTCTTTTTTT